GAGGCGGAGTCGTCGTCTCAATGACAAAGTAGTGTGCGCCACGTCCTCGTCATCGGAGACTGCCAGTGCAGAAGGCAAGACCATGACTCCAGCAAAGACCAGTCTGCTGACCAGGCGGACTTCCCAAGGTGCGTTGCCAGGGCTGGAATACTGCTGTTGACGGCCGCCGAATTAAGGCTCGACTCGGGCTTCAGGGCTTTGGGGTTATCCAGTTCAGGCAGTTCTCGCTATAACAATTGCAAAGCGCACCTGGACGGGACTTCGGAGGCTCAGTCGTCAACCAGCGCGCCAGTGCGCGTGGGCTCGGTGATGGACGAACGCACCCTGTGAGGCGGAGTGCTGGGAGCCGCGTTCGTGGTGCATTCCGGAACCCAATCTGCAAAGCAAATTGGCCTGCTCTACAAACTGGCGTCACCGAAACGTCGAGATATCCATAGCGTGCTTCCGCGCCTGCACAGCTGCTGCCACGGCCGCAGACATACCAAGCAGGACATGGCAAACCATTTGCCCGAGTTGCGAGCCACCATGGTCAACAAATGCCAAAGCACGCCTCATGCTTCAATCTGGCCCCAAATATGAATGAACTGCAAATGAAAGCCTGCATAACTGACCGGAATCCGACGCTCTGAACCTCGGAGGACGAACCGCAGACCACCTAGAAGTCTTTCGAAACAAAGTCCTCTACGAGAGTAAGTGCAAACGGTCTCCAGCGTAAACCTCTCTGCCTGGCCCAAAGGCAAGCACATAACCTCGGACATGACTGGCTGCTCGTGTGCGAAAGTTGAAAAGGCAAAGATCTGTTGCGAGATGGTGGCAAGCAACAAAGAGATGATCTTGCACAGCTTCATCGAAAAAGGTGCAGAATCCAGTGCCATGGCAAGGGTTTTAAGGGTCTTAGAAGTTGGAAGCGGCACGCGGCATTGCCGCAGAAACAAAACTGTCGACAGGGCCACGGGAAGGAAAGGACTCGCGAAGTGCTTCGGTCTGGCCTCTGGCGGGGGAAAGGCTGCAGAGGAAACATGCAGAGAGCAACGGCTGAGACAGGAGTGTACACGGTGACACACTGATCCTGAGATCCTGAGATCCTGACACTGAGTGGAGCCCTACGGAGCAGATGCTGCAGGTAGCTGCGGATGCGAATGGCCGGGAATGGTGGCCCTGCCCGTACTGGAATCTCTGCAGCTACAGCCTGCTCACACTCTGGCGACAGCAATGTGCATGTGCAACTGTGTGATGACAGCCGTGTCTCTATATAGTTGCCGCGGCGGCAGCGGTCGCTGTAATCCAATCCCAGTGCGGCGGCAGTTCCCGCTTCTGTCATGGTCACTGCAATCTAGCGGCCGCTTCTGTCCTGCTGCACACAAACCTACACCCAACCTGAAAACCGAATATCGTGGCATGCGCGGCATGCCCAAGAAAGTCATTAGACAACAACCCTGAACATTCTACAAACATACCAGCCATGAAGCATCCATCCTAAAGAACAGTCCCAGGTCTCCTTGTCAGTTTGGAACTTCACAATGCGAAGCAGCGCGCACCACAAAATATCAGAAGGTAGTCAAACTTAAATACAATTTTCTTGACTATGGCTAAGTACTCTTTTCTTTTGATAAACCGATATAAATATTACTAAGCCACTTATAACTTGGCTACGTGCGATTCCTCGTCTTCGTGGAAACCCTACCGCCTGCCCAGCAATCAATGCCTTAGACAGTGACTGGGTCCAGGAATTGGGACATGGTGGACCAGACCGGCTTGGCAAGTGCGGAGGCACATGGCACAAAGAGGGGCACAACTCCTTACATCGCCCTGGGACCAGGTTAGACGGTTAGGACAGGACCTCTAGAGACAAGAGTTGCGCCCACGGCCCAGTCGAAAGCCTCCGAACTGCGTGGAAGTCTGGTCCGTGGCTGCTACAACAACAACCACCACAACAACAGCAGCAACAATTTGGCAATTGAGCGCTGCGCGATCGGACTTCACGCTTGGCGGGCAATTACCGCACTAGGCACTCACTAGTGAAACCTCTGTTAGATCGAGAAGTGACGCATGACTGGAAGACTCAGTCTTGCTGCTGCTGCTGCTCATTGTGGACCGATCCACGCTGTGCTGCCCCGTGCTGTTTCAGCCGTCGAGCACATGAGGCTCCCTCCCCAACTCCACCGTGCAGGTTTGCCTGCGACGGCTGCCCCGTATCCTGAGCACATGAGAGGTTTGAGAGACCTCCACACAGCAGGACCACGGTCTGAGGTTTCAACAGAGTGTTGTCGCTTGATGCACGAGCTTGGTGGCTCCAGCTCTGACACGAGACCCTCAGTGCCGAAGGAAGCCTTTTCCAAGAGGCAAAGCGCCGCGTTTCTTGTGCTTTGCAGCAATGTGTGCCGCAGGCAACCGGTAGTTGGTCAAATCCTGCACCTAGGAAGGCCGAGCCACTGTTGTGCTTCAAAAAACCATGTGTGGCCCGAGGCTCGGTGGTTGGCCCGTGGCAGCCTCAGCGCCAGCGCCGGTTCCAGCTCCAAGAGCTCAAGGAAGCGGCTCCCCAAGATTCATCCTGATCCCACCAGGATTCGCTAGACCACTGCCGTCGCGACAGCTGGAATCGTCTTTCTGCCTCTTGTCAGAGACCGGCTCCGTGGCCGCAGATTGACGTTTGTCCGGGCGGAGGTATTGCATCTTCGCTGTGGTGTCTCCGAGCTTGTGATCTATGCGAAGCTTGCGAAAGATCTTGCCATTCTCGTCAGGCTGGAAGATAATAATGCGGTTGGATAGACCGCAGGAGCGGCAAGTCTGATCGTAGATGGAGTTGATGGTGGAGGCCACAATCTCAAAATTATCGTCCGTCTCCAGAATTTCCGCCATTTCTTCCTGGTCCCAGAGACGTAAACACAAGGAGCCAAGCAGCCCAAAGAATCCAGTGATCAGGGGCAGTTCACGATATGAATCTCCATGCCCCAGGGCAATCGTGAGCAGACCATCTGATCCCACGATGGGTCGAGCCGTCATAGTGTTGGGCCAAGCCGTGCCCATGTCCGTCTCAGCCTTTACAATGGGCGCCAGGATCCAAGGCGGACTCTTGAGGAGCGTGATGCAGTTTTGCCACATTTTAAGCTGCTCAGAGGCTGTCAATCCACCAATGACAGCTTTCTCGTTGATGATGAGGAGTGTGAAGCGCATGGCGCCACTCGAACATATGATCAGACTGGCTATGTAAATGATTCTGTCGCGTTTGCGAATAGCCGCGTTCTGGTCCTCAAGGGACGGGCCGGATTCATAGTCAAGCGGGCCTGGATGTCAACGGGGCCGCGGTACTTGACGTCGGCCATCGAGACTGTTTCCACGGTGGGAGCTGCTGGGCTTTCTGGTGTGCTGGGCACCTGTGTCGGGTGAGGCTTCGCAGCAGGCAGCGAAGAGGTTGGCGGCCTCGTCGTGGAGTCCTCTGAGATGGCCGCAGTCTCACTCGAGGTGCTAAGGCGTTAAATCGCCTGGTTTCATTGGAGGTGTTGGGAAGTGATGTGGTGCTGTGGCAGAAGGGTCAATCGGCTCTGAAGGGGGAGTGGAGGCTGGCCGCAGCTGGGGAGGTGGGGCTTTGGTCTGCTGGTCCTCCGCTGCGTTGGAGGGCAGGGGAGGCATGCCGAGGCCAAAACGCGCCTTAGAAACTGGAGGGGGGAGGGGCAGGGATGTGCGCGCCCCCACAAGCGAAATGATTCATTTCCCCGCCATTGTTGAGGAACTCCTTCGGGGTGTCATTTTCGTTGAGACAGTGCCGGCAAGACAGCCAGCCCGGCTTGTCCGGGTGGAGACAACGGCCTTTAATTTGGGTAGGCAGCGCATGACATCCTCTGCGGTGATGCCTTGGTAGTGCTTCTCCTGCCTGACTGCTTCCATGATGTCCTCAAAGGAGTTCTGGGAGATGCTGATCTGGACGTCATCCCGAATGGATTCACTTGTGGGCAGAGCCCCCTCCGCCATCTTGGGCTTCACGCCGAGCGTCCAAGGCCTCCGAAACAGCTTGCAGGAGGCTTTGCAAGAGCGACGTTGCTCTCCTTTCGCTGGCCCGCGGGTCGCCCTTGAAGCCCATCTGCCAGTTCCAACAGCGAGTGTACGCAACGCACACCTGCTTCTTGGAACAAAGTAGTGCCCGTCACTCGCCAAAGCCTTTAAGACCGTCATCGAAAAACCCCTGCAGCAGGTAGATCGGTTCATAGGTGGGACGGATGTTCCAGCCGAGCGCCCATGTCGTCCTTCAAAAAAGGCGCCAGAGCTCTTTGCAGAAGATCATGTACTGGAGGTTGGCCACCTTGCTCAAGACCCTGCGCGAGAAAGCATGGGCGATCACCCACAGGACCACAGGAGCAATGGATGGCGGGGCTGGCCGTAGATGATGCCCTGGAAGATATGATCTTGCTTGCGGCCGATCGCCATGCATCAATGACACGCAGTGCAAACTTGATGTCCATGTACAGGCCGCCATGGTTGTCGTGGTAAATGTGCCGGAAAACATCTGCGCGGTGTGCTGGCTGCTTCAGGTTGGTGCAGAGATCTGAACCGAAGGTGCCAGCATGCAAACAACAGCAACAACCACAACCACAAAAACAAGAAGAAGAAGAATAACAAGGGTGTGGAGCCAACGAGAACAATGACAACCACAACCACAACAATCACAACAAGGACAACCAAACAACGACACAAACACCAACACCGCAGCACCGTACTGGCGGTAGTAGGTAGCGGCAGTTTAACTCCCGCATGGCAGTGTCTGTCGACTCCACTAAAGAAGGCTCTACAACACTCAACTGCTTAGGTAGTAGTAGTCGTCGTCATCGTAGTCGTAGTCGTAGCAGTTGCAGTTGCAGTAGCAGAAGTAGTAGTAGCAGTAGTAGTAGCAGTAGTAGTAGTAGTAGTAGTAGGAGGAGGAGGAGGAGGAGGAGCAGCAGCAGCAGCGGGAGGAGGAGGAGGAGGAGTAGTAGTAGTAGTTGTTGTTGTTCTTATGAAAACGAGGCACGAAGCACGATACCAGTGCCAGCCGCCAGCCGCAAGGGGAGCAGCCAAAGCCGAACCCAGTTGTATTTCTCCTGCGAGTGGCTTGGCAAACAGCTTTGGGTCACCGTGGGGTGTCAATGTGGTGATGGAATTCGCTTGCCAATATTGCCCTTTTAACCTGGGCAGTCCGGACACTTTCGGCTGCTATGGCTCGTTTGAGGTACTGGTGGGCTCCGCTTTGCTTTATGCACTCAACTGGAGCAACTTTCAGCAACCCGGCAGTGTAGTAGTAGATGCTGTCTAGTCTCGGGCGTGTTGTGGGTGTACGTCACGAAGCACATCAGCGCAGTTGTGACCAAGGAAATGCTCACAAGGACAGCATCGCCGGTACAAGCGATAAAGCCTTGGCTCCATGTCCAGTCTTTGTGGGCGCAGTGTTCGCTCGGATGTTATGCAGTTGGACAGCACCCAGGGCAGGTCTTTCATAGCTTCGGGCATCTATGTTAACTTGGTTGAGAGGCTGCTTCAAGCTTCGCTGGATGTGAGGGAGTGAGGGGGGAGGGGGGAGGAGAGGGAAGAATCGGATGGAGAATGCAGACAAACCGGAGTTTCCACAACAAGCCGTCAACCATTGCAACCCCTTTGATCCGGAACCCCTCACCCCACAGATGGAAAACGTGCCATGATTCATTGTAGTGGTTTCTCTCTCGCTCGCTCTCTCTCTGTCTCTCTCTCTCGCTCTCTCTCTCTCTCTCTCTCTCTTTCTCTCTCGCTCTCCCTCGCTTCTTCCCCAGGGCATGAGGGGTCTGTCAACCCCCGCGGCCAGTTGGCCCCCCAATTGTTATGGGGTTTTCAGAGGGTGTGAAATGTGTGTTTCCAGCGTCGGCCATAACAATCTGCCGACACATAGATTCAGTACTTTGTGTGGGGACACCATAACATCTGTTTGTGAGGGTATATATCTGGTGAAGTTGTTAAATGAACATAAATAAGACAACATCCCCCGTACAAACGTTCCACCGAATTCACGGGCGTGTTTGTACATGTCCACAGCTTGCTGTCTCTTTTTTTCCCTTCAGGTTAAGGGAGCGTGCGAAGCTCCCCGGCCCATGGGGCCCCCCACGGGACGTGTTCCGGGGCTTTCGGGGAGAAGCTACACCGAGCTCTCTGTCTGTCTCTCTCTCTCTCTCTCTCTCACTCTCTCTCTCTCTCTCCGTCCATGTGCCCAAAAGACTCTCTGAAACGCTTGCTAGAGTTCGGTGGGAGCTTGACGCACAAATCGGAAACTCGAAGTAGCTGTTCGGTTGAGGCCAAGGAAAACATATGCACACTCAGTGAATTTCGGACAAGAAGACTAACGAAAACCGAAGCCGAGGCACTGATGCACACCATCCACCTGCAACCAGTCAACAATCGCGACTCCAAACCCCTCTGACCAGCAAAGATCTTGCGTTTTTAGTTGCGGACTCAGCAAGGCCTCGCCACTTTAGCTAACCAAGGTTGTTCCTAGACCCTTCGTATGTTGCCATCTGCATATTTGAGAAGACCTGAGAACAGACCTCCCGATCTCCCGTTTGTAATTGGAAGGTCCGTTCTGGAATAAATCTTGGCCAGGATGCAGCATCAGCGGTGAGTGTCGGCCACTGTTGATGTCGACATCCACGCACTGCAGCTCCAAGATCCTGGTAGGAGATTCGTTTCATGTCTCTGGAAGCCGAGAATTCCTTTCGTCTATGTCCTAGCTTCTTCTTGCTTTTGTCTTCAATCGGTCTGCCGTTTTTGTGGTGGAGGGTGGCAATGGAGGGTCGCGTTCTGTGACAGGTGGATTCCAATTTGCAGGATCCGCTTCGTATTGGAAGAAATTTGACAAGCCCCTTGTTCGCCAACCCAAGCTACACCGAACATACAAGATGAAAGGCGAAAGAACAGGCTGAAATTAAATATGTCTGACACTGATTATCTATCATCACGAACCGCGCTCGGGCAAATACTCCTGCATGGTACCATAATGCTTTCTACTTGAATACACAAAAGGCTTTGCTGCAGGTACTTGGAGTTCCCCAATGCTTGTTGCCAAAAGAACAGGCCTTCGTTCCTTGCTGTCTTGCTCACCGCTTCATTCCTAGCTTTCTGGAGCCTCGACTTGTTTGCTATGTTTCCTTGTGCCTGTTTTCGTGCTGAACTCCATCCGCGATTTTTGTAATTCCCCTCTTCCTTCCTTCCGCGTCATCCCTCAAAAACGAACAAACAAAAACACACCTTCCCAAAAAGACCGGCGGCTCCAACAACCTTAGGCACATCGACACTGACAGGACATTGCCCGATACGTCGGACAAGACACTTTTTGATCATGCCATTCATTGAATCTTTGGCGTTGACCGTCGCCAGCTTGGAAGGATCTTTCGCATACCTCAAAAACAAAACTTTGCTCTGGCAAGTTCTCCATCCACGCCCTGACACCCTCTGTTCGGAAATTCGGTACAACAGGCTCTCACGTGTTTCCGCATGCCGCGAGGCAAGTCGCACCGAGACCAGTTGACTCAGGCTCAGGCTTGTGATATATCCAGGTCCGGTTGGCCATCACATACGGTCTGAAGATGTAGTGATCCTGCACGACAAGAAGACCGCACACGTCCTGCATTCTCGGTGTGTTGTATGTGCGGATCTGGGAGCGAGAGCGGGAAGTCTGGGTTGACGAAAGACCGCCTTTGGGAAGGTCCCGGCACGGTCTGTGCATGTCTTTGCATTGTAACAGCAGGAACCATGAACCTTGTCAAACCTTCATGGTTGCTGGCTGTGTAAAGGTACAACCTGCTTGACCCGCAAGCCTCCTCCCAAGACTACTGCTAGACTGCAAGCCGCCAACCCGGAATACTTGAATCCTCCCACAGCTGCCGAGGGCTGCCGACCAGCCGACGCCGACCAAAAATGTCCACTAGCAGAAAGCCGGGCAAATACCTGCTGACAAGGTAAGTTTGCACCGGGTTTCATATTTCAGTTCCGGATTCCGGCTTACAGCCAGCACAAGCCGGGTATACCGGCGCCAACATGCTCTGCAGTGCAGCAAATGCATGTTACACTGCCCAGAAAATACGGACATCCCGGCCTGTCTATTGGGCACGGTTGGATGCTGTTTCTCGCAGGCGAAAGCTCACTCTGTGCCACGCTTGCATGTAGTCACAAATCTCTGATGTACAGTAGAAAAAGCTCAAGCTGGCTTCAGTAGCAAGTCCGGGCCTGTCTTCCTTCATGACAATGCGGCCTGTGACGGAGTTTCTGGTCCTGGCAAAATACAGGCATCCTTTTGGAAGTCGTCGCGTTTACTATGGATGAGCTGATGCGGTTGTAGAGTCCAAGTTTGCAGGCTGCTGGTTAGTCAATGGAAATGAGTGTGGTTCGCGTGCCATGTGTTTCCAAGGCACGTGCTACCAAAGAAGTGGCTGAGCCCCATGGAAGTGCCGACGCGCCGGCACTTCACCTGTTGCCGGGGCACAGGGCAATTGATCGGGCAACTGATCTTGGGACAGATCTGTATAGCCTGGGTCGGATCTGGAGACTAGCGGGGTTGTATCGGAAAGTTAGATTTCGATCCCAAATCCGGTGGACTGCCGCCCTGCCTGGGACACCCAACAAAATTCCCAGTCCTGAAGATTGTGGGTTTCACCCTCGCCAGCCTTTTCAATGGTGACAGCTACCAGATCCAGGTCATCCTCGCCGGAGTCCTGCGCACGTGCCGCAAGCAGCTTAACGACCAGCCTTTCGTGACTCAGGCATGAGCATCCGAGGTGCCGAATAGACAGCCGACTCCGCATCGCTGAGGGGATTCCTGTCGTCCTCGAAAAGCAAATCTTGCAGGCCTTGCATGTCGGCCGCATGGGTCTTCAGAATGTTTGGCCCTGGGATTTAAATGTCCGGGATAAGCTCTTGCAAGTCTGGCTTCAGCAGTCCTACGAGCCAACAACAGCAGATGGCGGTCTAATACTGGAGGACGAACACCATGGCAGGCTCAAAATAATGAGTCTGTATCGTGCCAGGAGCACACAGTTACTGTAGCAGGTCCGAGGCACGTTTTGCCTTAAGGAGCAGTCCTGTTGACGCTGTGGTCCAATAACAAAGAAATACTGCCAGTGTGGCTTCAAAACTGCAGACGAGATTTTTCAATGCTGATTGAGCACACAGGCTTTCTGTGCTGATCTTGCTAATTAATAAAAATAGCACGGCTACAAAGTTGTGACACAAAAGACGGATCTACAGTGGTTAACACTTCTAAAGCCCCATATTGATGAACAAAGTCTGGATGAACGCGTCGGATAATGATGTGACAAAAACCCGCTGCCAACAATCCAATGCCCAGCTCCAATGCAAGCCATGAGGCCAGAGCGCATCTTTGTTTTGTGAGAGTGTTTCGATGGAAGACTTTTCGGGAAAATCGTGGAGTCCTGCATTGGGCAGGAAGCGCGTAAATATGACGTCAGGCTATGCCGGCATCATGAGAACAGTTCCGACACCACAGCAATAGAAATACTGTTCTCATGTAATACTAGTATTAGAACTAGAACTAATAAAGACAACAGTAGCAGTAGCAGTTGTAGCAATAGCGGTAGTAGTAGCAGTAGCAGTAGTAGTCGTCGTCGTGGTGGTGGTCGTGGTGGTAGTGGTAGTGGTGGTAGTAGTAGTAGTAGTAGTAGCAGCAGGAGTAGTAGTAGTAGGAGTGGTGGTAGTAGTAGTAGTAGCAGTAGTAGTAGTATTAGTAGTATTAGTAATTATAGTAAAAATGGTAGTAGTAGTAGTAGTAGTAGTAGCAGCAGCTAGTAGCAGCAGCAGCAGCTAGTAGTAGTAGTAGTAGTAGTAGTCGTCGTCGTCGTCGTCGTAGTAGTCGTAGTAGTAGTATAGTA